TTTTTTTTTTTTTTTTTTTTTTTTTTTTTTAATACAGACTATTACAGAGAAGACTACCATGCCCCTTCTACAAGGATAACATGAAGAAGCCGTGCCCCATGTTAAATCACCCATGCCGCCATACTGATGACTGGTACAGATAATGCAACGGTTGCTGAACAGATCACAAGTTCGAATCCTGACCGCAGAAACTTACACACGCACAAAACAAAAAACAAAAAAAATAAAATAAAATAAAATAAAAAAATCCATATTGGGAATAGAAAAGGGGAGGGAATTAGCCTAGCACCTTTTTTCCCTTTTTATCTTCATTTCACTGTTTCTCGTAACTGTAATATAACCTTTGCCGGCATTATTGCTCTCTCTCTCTCTCTCTCTCTCTCTCTCTCTCTCTCTCTCTCTCTCTCTCTCTCCTTCTGCCATCCACCTCAGCGTCTCCCTCGAAACCAGTTGAACATTAAAAAAAAAAAAAAAAAAAAACTGTTGTGATTTCCTATCCGCCCCTTGGCCCAGGGGCTCATGGTAATTTAAACCGGCAGTACACCCAGGCCTGGATTCTCTTCACTGCGCGCCAAGCCAAGCTTTGTAGAATCGCCAGCGCCACACTGTTTCGGAAGCTTTTCCCTTTTTTCTGTAATTTATTGGCCCTGCGAGCCATTCAAGTTGTGGCCCAGTCGGCGAGAGGGGGGATGAGTGGGAAATGAAACATTTTCTGCAAGGCTGGGGCTGTGTACTGGGGGTCTAAATTTATAAAACACCAGTACTTGGCCAATAGCTATTGGCCGTGGGAAAAAAAAAGAGTAGAAAGGTTTCTAGTCGGATGAATTTGGGCGCCCCTGTAGTGACCCATACATTTCCTAAAATCGTGGCTTCTATGCTGGACTGGCATTAGCCGTGGAGCCCATCGTGTGTGGAGCGGCTAGTATCATGATACAACGCACTCCAGTTAAACCACCAGTACTTGGCCCATATATCGGCCGTGGGCCTTAGCGTTAAACCACCAGTACTTGGCCCATATATCGGCCGCGGGCCTTAGCGTT